TAATTCATGCAGAATGCATATAGTGTTCACAGGCAGGAAAGCATTTATCTCCTTGGACATCTCTATCAGAACTCTTGGGTAACACTGTCAATGAGCAGAAATATTTTTAAAGGAATTTCTTTTCCTGAGCAGTAGATCTCTCAACAGTAGGCATAAAACACTCAGTAAACCATGCTGTAAACAGCAGTGCTGTCATCCAAGCTTTGCTGTTCCATTTACTAAGCACAGGTAGAGTTGATTTAGCAAAATTCTTAAAAAGTCCTAGGATTTTGGGAATGGTAAATGAACACTACACTGACTTCAGTTTAATGACACCTACATTAACCCCTAAAAGAGAGTCAACCAGTCCTTTGAAGCTTTGAAGCCAGCCATTGACTTCTCTTCTCTAGCTATAAAAGTCCTGGATGGCATCATCTTTAACAGAAGACTGCTTTGCCTACATTGAAAATCTGTTGTTTAGTGTAGCCACCTTCATCAATGATCTTAGCTAGATCTTCTGGATACTTGCTACAGCTTCTACTTCAGCACTTGTTGTTTAACCTTGTGCTTTTATGCCATGGAGACGATGCCTTTCCTTAAACCTCATGATTCAACCTTTACTAGCTTGAAACTTTCTTTTTTGTGGCTTCCTCACCTCTCAGCCATCAAAGAACTGAAAAAAGTGAGAATTTTGCTCTGGATTAGGCTTTGGCTTAAGATAGCAGTCCCCAATCTTTTTGACATCAGGGACCCGTTTAGTGGAAGACAAGACGGGGCGGTGGGGGGGAGTCATCAGACATTAGAGTCTCATAAAGAACGTGCAACCTAGATCCCTCACATGCACAGTTTACAATAGGGTTCGTGCTTCTATGAGAATCTAACGCCACTGCTGGTAGAAGGCAGAGCTCTGCTTGCTGGCTGTTCACCTCTAGCTGTACGGTCCAGTTCCTAACAGGCCATGGACCAATACTGATCTGCGGCCCAGCGGCTGGGAACCCCTGACTTAAGGGAATGTTGTAGCTGGTTTGACTTTCTATTTAAACCACTAAAACTTTTCTCCCTATCGACATTAAGGCTGCTTTGCCTTCATTTCATTCATGCTTTCACAAAAGTAACAATTTTAACTTCCTTCAAGAACTTTTCCTTTGCATTCACAACCTAGCTGTTTGGTGCAAGAGGCTTAACTTTCAGCCTGTCTTGGCATTCAATGTATCCTCCTCCCTAAGTGTAATCATTTCTAACTTTTAATTTAAAGTGATTGTCCTGTGTCTCTTCTTTTCACTTAAACACTTAGAGGCCATCATAGAATTATTAATTGGACTAATTTCAATGCTGTTATGTCTCAGGAAATCAGGAGACCAAAGGAGAGGGAAAGAGATGAAGGAATGGCTGGTTAGTGGAGCAGTCAGGACACATACATTTATTGATTAAGTTTATCATCTTATATGTGTGTTTGTGGTGTCTTAAAACAGTAACAATAGCAACATCAAAGAGCACTGATCACAGATCACCATAACAGATATAGTAATAATGACAAAGTCTGAAAATTGCAAGAATTACCAAAATGTGACATAGAGACATGAAATGAGCACATGCTGTTGGAAAAATGAATGATGTCTGTTGACAGACTCGCTCCATGCAGGGTTGCCACAAACTTTTAATTTATAAGAAATACGATATCTGTGAAGGGCACTAAAGCAAAGTATAATAAGACAGAATATGCCTGTACTTGATGGAGCAAAAATGAGAAGGCCTGAGGCAGAGAAAAGTTCCAGTTTCCTAGATTCAGGCAAGTGATGGGGACTGGGAGAAAAAGAAAGTTAAGGAAGACTTCCATAATTGATAACATGTGAGGGAGAACTGTCCCGGATATCCCCCCACTTTCTAGTGTGGACAACTGGGTAAGTGGTCACACCCCAATACTTTCCTCTTGGCAGGTAGGTGCCATGAGTTTATTAGCAGATGATAAAGGGCTCCTTGGTAAGGCTGTGCTCTGGCATTACTGCTATCTAGCAGAGTGAGGTTGAATGGCTGGAATATACTTCACAGCCAATTTTTCCAAATTAGGTCCCCTGAAACACTGGTTTCAGCAAATGTTAAAGACATCCTGTAGGGGAGAAACATTTACTAAACAAGAAATTCTCTCCCCTCCTCTAGGAGAGTTGCAGTGGAAATTAGCATATCAAAGGCTCACAGTAAATAAGCTGTTACATTTCTTTAACTCAAAGTTTCCCATAGTTATTTGAATTTAGAACTTGGGTGAAACTGCTTATAGCAGCAATCTAACAAACTAAATGCAGTTGTTGTGTCATAAAACTGGGGTGGGAGAGGGCTCTGTATTGAAAAATGTCTGTCATGTTTTGTCATACGAAAAGACTATCACCAGTAGTTTGTAGGTAAATGTTTACCAGCCTGCCTCAGTGTGAAGGGAGAAGTGGGAGAGCATCAAAAGGGTGAGAAGAAGCAGGAGGAAGTATGAAACAGTAGACTTGAGGAAATACGAAACAGTAGACTTGGAGAGCTGGACAGCAGGCTTACTGGGGAAGTTGGATGCAATTTCTAAGTAGTTTTGAGTACCCCTTGGAGGTGTGAGGTCATGATCAAAGTGAGACTAGCCAGTAACCAGTATTCAGGAGTTGAAAAGACAAGGGCTGGGTTTAACTGGGATTAGGGTTTTATTATTACTACTTTTTATTTTATCAGAAATGACAGCAGAAAAGGGATATGGGTGCATTAGAAATATGTGCACTTTCTGATGGGAATGAGGGAGTAAGCATATATGAGAATGTATTGATAATGGGACTCTGACAGAGCCTCTGGATTTGGAGGTCTTGAGCTATCAGAAGACCCTCGGAGTCCGGAGAATCAGAGTAGTAAATGGAGACAAAAGAAGGTGATAGAGAAGATTTTTGAAGATGAGGTACCCACTGGTGGCAAAAAGAACTAGGATGTGGCCATGTTGGTGGATGATTGAGGTGGGGCAAGGGAAGATATTTTTTCTAGTGAGGTGGTCAAGGTGCTGGGTAGGTCAGGCCAAAGACATAGGGAGATCAACGCATATAAGATGGAAAAGGAGAGTGTACTCATCTATCTTTCACTGCTATAAAGAAATACCTGCAGCTGGGTAATTTATAAAGAAAAGAGGTTTATTTTAACTCATAATTCCACAAGGTACCACCATCTGCTGGGCTTCTGGTGAGACCTCAGGAGGCTTACAGTCATAGTGGAAGGTAGAGAGGGAGCTGGTATCTCACATGACAAGAATGGAAGCAAGAGAGAGCTGAACAGGGGCCAGACTCTTTAAAAACTAGCTGCTGTGCGAACTAATACAGTGGCAACTCACTCATCACCACAAGAACAGCACCAAACCATTCAGGAGGAATCCACCCTGTAACCCAATCACCTCCCACTAGGCCCCACCTCTGATCCTAGGGTAACATTTCAGTGTGAGATTTGAAAGGGACAAATATCCAAACTATATCAGAGGGCAATTGTTCTCAAGGATTACTTACAGTTCTCAAAGATTAGAGAGAAGGACAGAGAATTCCAGAGAGGGTAGCAACATCAGGGATAGTGAGTGGTATGGCTGGGTGGCATGAGCTTCAAAAGAACCGGGATATTGAAGAAAATGTTTTTGAAATAGCAGAAGCACTCGCCTCCCGTAGACTCTGAGATGATGTGGAACATAAGAGAAAAACATAAGAGAAAAACTTGAGAGAGCTGCAGGGGCAAGTGGTGTCCTCAGAGAACAGATGGGCTGCAGCTTAGGATCAGATGGTGCAAGGCAGGTTTCAACCACTCCCCCCCCCGGGGGGGGGCAGTGGAAGAGTTTAGAAGGGGCTGGAGGGTAGGGTACAAGCTGAATGAGAGGTCGCCCGGAGTTCATGGGGTGAGGGTTCACCAGATGATGGAGCTGCAGTGGGTAAGTCAGGTCAGGACGGGTGCTAGTGGAAGATGGTTGGCTCAAGTTGAGTCCAAATTAGGAGAGGACTTACTCTGCTTTGGCCCAAAGCAGTTTTGTACTCAGGCTCCTTTGCTTCAGAGAGTCCCTTACATGCCTCGTTTACCACAGCCAGTGAGGCTGTACCCACGTTGCCTCTGCATACATTAGTATCCGGCACAAGACAGAGTCAACATACACTCACTGCAAGAAAGAGTCCTAAGGATCAGACGGGGACAGCAACTAATGCAGACCTGCGCTGCCCATGACAGATTAACAAGAACTTGAATATCTCCCCCCCTCCCAGGAAAGTACAGCAGGTGCTTCCGCCTGACTCCTCCCCTTGAGTGGAGAGGATAGGTGCGCTCTTCTCTGGGGTCCGCCTTCCCGCCAGGGGGCGAGTTTTCCTCGGGAACTCTGTCTTCCGGCGGGGGATGCCCGGGGCCCGGGAGGGTCATTTCCGGTGCGAGCCTGCAAGGCGGGCGTGTTTGGCCCTGAGCACTGCGACCGGTAAGTAAGCACCTTGTGGACCCCCTTCCATGTGCAGCTCCCCAGTCCAGCGCAGCACCATCCCGCGTGGAGCCACCAGTCACACGTGACTATTAAAATTTAAATTAATCGAAGTAAAAGAACATTTTAAGAATCGGTGCTGTGGTGACGCGTTTCGGGCGCGCCGAGCCCTCACGTGGCAGGCGGTGTCTGTCATGGTGGCAAGTCCCCTGCGGACACGTTGCTGTTGGGGGTCCCCCTTTTTAAAAAATTTGCCCAAATTTTGTTTTCTTTTCACCAACAAATGGTCGAACATTTATAATTAACGAACTGACACTGTATTAGTAATATAAAATTCAAGACATTTTGCCACAAAGCAGTGTACTTCTACCAAGTTTGGCACCCAAAGCATTTAGTGAATCATCACTGCCTGTGACAGTAGAGTTATTTTTATACATGCAAAAAGGTTTTATTTGAAAATGGCAAAGTATTTGAATGGAAGGATAAGAAAGTGAACGACTTGGTGAATGGATGGGGTCCTTGTTAACGCCAGCGTTTTTCCTCACTGTCGCAGAATTCATCCGTCGGGCGGAGCCCAGGGCGTTGGAAGGGACACGCAGACATGGCACAGTACAAGGGCACCATGCGGGAGGCCGGCCGCGCCCTGCACCTGACCAGGAAGCGCGAGAAGCAGAAGGAGCAGATGGCGGTGCTGAAGCAGCGCATCGCCGAGGAGACCATCCTCAAGTCAAAGGTGGACAAGAAATTCTCGGCTCATTACGACGCCGTGGAGGCCGAGCTGAAGTCCAGTACGGTGGGCCTGGTGACGCTGAACGACATGAAGGCCAAGCAGGAGGCCCTGCTGAGGGAGCGCGAGAGGCAGCTGGCCAAGAGGGAGCAGCGGGAGGAGCAGCGGGAGCGCCAGCGCAGGCGCGAGCACAGGCGCAAGATCTCCTGCCTGTCCTTCACCCTTGATGACCATGACGACCAGGAAGGCACGACCAAGGCCAGCAAGAGCAGGAACCTGGGCAAGGATCCCGACGTGGACACGAGCTTCCTGCCGGACCGTGACCGCGAGGAAGAGGAGAATCGACTCCGGGAGGAACTGCGCAAGGAGTGGGAAGCCAAGCGCGAGAAGGTGAAGAGCGAGGAGATCGAGGTCACCTTCAGCTACTGGGACGGCTCGGGCCACCGGCGCACGGTGCGCATGCAAAAGGGCGGCACGGTGCAGCAGTTCCTGAAGAAGGCGCTGCAGGGGCTGCGCCAGGACTTCCGCGAGCTGCGCTCCGCAGGCGTGGAGCAGCTCATGTACATCAAGGAAGACCTCATCCTGCCTCATTACCACACCTTCTACGACTTCATCGTCACCAAGGCTAGGGGCAAGAGCGGGCCGCTCTTCAACTTCGACGTGCATGACGATGTGCGGCTGCTCAGCGATGCCACCATGGAGAAGGATGAGTCTCACGCGGGCAAGGTGGTGCTGAGGAGCTGGTATGAGAAGAACAAGCACATCTTCCCCGCCAGCCGCTGGGAGCCCTACAACCCTGAGAAGAAGTGGGACAAGTACACCATCCGATGAGACCCGCCCTGTCCCCCTGGTGTCCTGCTACCCATGCCACGGGAGTGACTTGGTGGGATAGGAACTTGAGGAAGAAAGCACTCAGATTTCTGTGCCCTGTCAATTTTAACTTAATTTGGTGGCTTTGATTTCTTCCCCCAAATTGAATAAAGTCAGGGGTTTGTGTTATTCAAATTTGGTCGTTCTGCTGCTCATGTTATTCTTTGGTTGCTTGGTTGGTGTTTTTGGAATAATTTTAATGCTCATTACATTGCTCTGCTGAGCTATATTGAAACTGTGACTGGGCACGCTATGGGTTAGAAATTCAAATAAGGAGCACTTTTTTTTTTTAACTAAGTGGTTATGAGCATGGCCTTTGGAACCAGACTGACTGGGTTTGATTCCCAACTCAGCTTCCTACTTACTATGTAGTTTGGGCTTATGAAACCCCTCTGCCTCAGTTTCCTCACCTATAAAAGGAAATAATAGCACCTACTTCTTAAGAACTATGTGAGAATTAAAAGAATTAGTATTTGAAAGCTCTTTGAACTTAATAGATGTCTGCTGCTCTTATTCGTATGGTTTTGATTAATTTATTTAAAGGACTACTATGACCCAACTCAGAACCATCTGAGGGCAAAGGTGGACCTGCCTATCACTAGTCCTAGTATCAGCAGTTGGGAGCTGGAAGGGGCCTTACAAAGGTAAGGAAGCAGCACCACCTCTGGTGTTCCCTAGCTGGGTTGTTTAGCCCAGGAGTTTATAGGGAGACAGAAAGGTACTGAGAGTAGCTTTCAGGATCAGTAGTTCTGCTTTCCCCTTTGCTGAAAGCTCTAATATGGCTCCACATGGTATTGTTACACATCTTGACTTTATTGAAAATATTTATGTTTTATTCATTGTGGGTTTTGTGTTAATTTTTATTTTTAGAATATATTAAAATCTTGATTATGGAGTATTTGGGTGCCCTCTCCCCTTAACCTTAATGCCCGAGGCAGATGTCTTGCTTACCTTATACCAGTCTCAGCTCTGAGTGCAGAAACTTCTTGGAGTTTCTGCTTCAGCCCATAAATAACACCTTCCACTGGAAAATCAACCCTCTAGGACAGTGAATCTCAGTTTGGGCTGTCCCTTAGGATCATCAGGGAAGCTTTTAATCTTCCCAATTCGCGGGCCACATCCAGAGTCAGATCAGCATACTCTGAAGCTCCCCAGGTATTGATGTGCAGTCAGGTTGAGAAGAAATGCTGTAGGGGCTGCCTCCTCTCCTTCTCGTACTAACTCTTCCTCTAAGTTTCCATGCAACAGGAATCACTTCCATTGGGTGTGAAGCAGATCCTACCCTAAGTGGGATCCTTGGACCAGCAGCATCGGAATTTGGGAACTTATTAGAATGGCAGACTCTCAGGCCCCATTCCAAGGACACTGGCTGCTTCTATCTTGTTGTTTCATCATATGTGGCTTCTATATGCACAGTTATCTCCTAGTCAAGATGGTAGCTCCAGCTCTAGCCATCACATCCATATCCCAGGAAGCAGAAAGAAGGAAAGAGGAGAAAGAAAGTTCAAGAGGTTTGAAAGAGCTGACTCTTAAGGGGTTCTATAAACTGACACACAATGCATTGGTTTCAATTCCATTTGCCAGAATTTGGTTATCTGGCTACACCTAGCTGCAAGGGAAGCTGGAAGACATAGTCTTTAAGAAGGTAAGCTCTATTACTATAGGGTGAGGGGGGAATGGAGAAGATAAATAGGGGGATAAATAGTTTCTGACATAGTCCTCCCTTTTGCCACTAAAATATCAAAGTGTAACCTTTCCCCACACTTAGCACACTCAACCCTAATGCAAAAGAGAGCAAAAGTTACCCAGTAGGTACAACTAGCTCAAGTCACAATCTCCGGGTAATGTGCAGGCCTCTCCTTTAAGTCCAAGTGTGACTTTGTCACTCAACTACTTTATTACCCAGATTACTAAAGAACAAGTAATCTGTCTCACATACCTGGTAGGCAGTGGTGGAACAAATAAATAAACACATTAGGAAAAGACACAAGAAACCAACAATAGCCTATTCTCTGGCTGTTATCAAACCCTACTGCGAAGAATTACAAAGACCCTCTGCCTTATGGGTATTATCCCTCTTGGAAACCCTTGGTCTGCTGTCTAGAAGGAAGTCCCAGCTCCTTGTCCACATACCCCCGGCTTTCCCCTCCTAATGCTCCACAACCACATCCAAGTCCATTTGGCTGGGCTGCACAGCTTTTGCTGCCTGCTGCCTGCTGCCTGCTTCCTGCTGATGCAGATTTGGGGACCAGAAATTGCTTTAATAATTTTTTTTCAGGTTAGGCTAGTAAGCTTTGGTAATTCAATTCTTCTCAAAAACTTAGATGGTTTTCAGTCAGTTCTATGTGCAATTAAGCCCAGCCAAAGTTATTTCTAGACATGGTGTTTAAGTATGAAACTCTGATTTTGACTTGCTGACTTCTGAGCTATATCCACCCAATCTCCCAAATTTTACAGGAGCTATCTTAAAACACAAGACTGGAGTGGAAGGATGACCCCATGACTGCCCTCTTCAGCTTTGTATGATACCCAGCATCAATCTTCTCTCCTGCTAAGGTTGTAGCTTTGAAGTCACTGATGATAGCTTCACTTGTGTGTCGTGAAGCATTTGGCTCCAGACTTGGACCACAGGCTGCAGGTAGAGACCCCTCACCAGGTAAGGCTGCCTCTTTCAGCACTGCTGGTACATGCATGTCACTCAGGACTCTGCAGAAAGCAGGGAAAACAGCCACCACATACCAACCTTCTGAAATTGTCCTAAGATTTCTCTGCTGTCACAGCCATGGTGGGTACATGGCCTGCCATCCAGGAAATAGCATCGACAGCATGACCAGTTGTGTTGGGTGTGAACCAGCAGTCTCTGTCACAGATGGGATCCCTAGGGGAGGAGGAGTCAGGTGCATCCTCAGACTCACATGTGCCAGATTTCTTGACATGCCATACTTGACCATCCTAAGATTGTTGGCTTTATTTGTCTGATGAAATTGAGTCTTGGAGAATCTAAGTCACTAGGACAGGGTCATACAATGTTGGAATGGGGTTTTGTCCCCAGATCCTGGCACAAAGATCCTAAACCACTTGGAATTTCCTGAGTAACAGGACTGTCTTCTATCTTTCATAAGAAGCCCCTTTCAATCACTCCCGAGTTTATTCTAATGAGGTGACTTAGGGTGGGTCCCCCAGTTAGCTTCAAGATGGGGCTGCCCACTAGGAAGTCTAAGTTATTAGAGAGTTGGAAACTTCAGCCCCACTCACTGAACTTTGGGAAGGTAGGAGGAAAAGCCAGCTGGAGTTTGAACTTCCAGGTGATAAACACATCCACAGTTGGAGCACCCCAGCTCCATGGAAGATAGAGTTCCTATGCTCAGGACCCTTCTGTACCTCTCTGTATGTACCTCTTCATCTATGTCCTTTGTAATAAACCAGGAAATGTAAATTAGGTGTTTTCCTGAGTTCTGTGAGCTGCTCTGGCAAGTGGGATCATGGAATCCCCCAATTCATAGCCAGTTGGTCAGAAGTATGGAAGGCTCAGATTTGTGAATGGTATTTGAAGTGGGGGCAGTCCCATGGTACTAAGCCCTTAGCTTGTGGGATCTGATGCTAACAACAGGTAGACAGTCTCAGAACTGAATTGAATTGTGGGCCAGTCAATTAGTGTCAGAGTATTAATCAGAGTCAGAAAAAATCCACACATCTGGTGCCAGAAGTGTTCTGTGCGAGAGTGTAGGTAAATATATTTTCTCACAGATTTGAACTCATATCTCTTTGCCTCCAAGACTTGCAGTTTTCTGTTTGTTACTCTTGTAACTCCGTGTTTATACATCATAGTTAAGCATGCACGTTGTGCAAAGACACAGTGCTACAGGATCCTGAGAAAAGCATCAGTCTCCTCCCTTTCACTTCCAGTCTCCCAGAGGTAACTACTTTCTAGCAGATTTTCTTATAACTTACCTCTGCATCTCTAAATAACATGTACATGTTGCTACTACTTGAGTTTTCAGTTTTAGGCATTACCTTTTGACTCCCTGTTATAGATAATAAGGATTTAGCTCTCTTTCTTTCCTCCACTTTCCTATCAACTCTCCCACACATATGAACACTCCCTATCCCCCATCCTTCCAGTTTAGGTAAAAAGTAATTTTGACTAGGTCAATATTCATGTGCTTGCACCATTATGATCATATAAATGCCGCACAGTATATTATAAGCAATCTTTTATCTTTATCTTTGCTGGAGTTAATAACTTTCTAGCTTTCTATTTTGATTGACTTCATGTCTTTGCTATTAACTCAACTTTATACTTCCTGTCAACTGTCTTAATCCTCTCTCAATATTAAATCCGTTAGCATATTAACTATAGCTTAAAAAATTCCTGATCTGATTGTTTCCACATTCCTGCTGGATCTGACTCATGTTCAGTCTCTTCACATGGTGAATTTTGTCTTTTAGTGTGTCTTGTAATTTTTAGTTGAAAGCTGGACATGGTGTACTATGTAAAAGAAAGTGCTGTGAATAGGCCTTTAGTGATGTGGCAGTAAGGCGTGGGGGAGGGGAAGCATTCTGTAGCTCTGTGGTTAAGTTTCAGTCTTTTAGTGAGCCTGAATCTCTAGACTGTGAGCTTCACACACAGTTCCCCTCTCTATCCTACCACTACCATCAACACTTATATGAAACAGGATGGCTGGGGCTGGATATTTCCCTTCTTTTCCATGCAAGTCAGAGCTGGCTGGATTTGGATATAGTAGTCCCTTCTTATCTTGGGATTTCTCCACAGTTTCAGTTACACAAGGTCTGAAAAGATTAAATGAAAAATTCCATAAATAAATAAATCGTAAGTGTTAACTTTCAAGCTGTTCTGAATAGGACAATAATATCTTTTGCCGTCCCACTCTGTCACGCCCAAGACATTAATCCTCCCTTTTTCCAGCATCTCTTTGTTGTAAATGCTGCCCTCGTATGATTTACTAAG